GCTGGGACTACAGGCGCCCACCACAACGCCCGGCCATTTTATTTTTGGTTGTAGCCATCATTGTTGTCTGGCGGGCCCGGGCTGGGGATTCGAACCTGCCACCTTAGGTGTATGTGGCTGGCGCCTTAGCCGCTTGAGCCACAGGCGCCGAGCCAGTTATTTTATTTCTTAAAGCTGATGTTACGGGCGGCGCCTATGGCTCAGTGAGTAGGAAGTAGGCCCCATATACTGAGGGTGGCCAGTTCCAACCCAGACTCAGCCAAACTGCAACAACAACAAAAAAATATATAGCCCGTTGTGGCAGGCACCTGTAGTCCCAGCTACTCAGAAGGCTGAAGCAAGAGACTCGCCTAAGCCCAAGAGCTGGAGGTTGCTGTGAGCTGTGACACCAGAGCACTCTACCCAGGGTGACAAAGTGAGACTGTGTCTCAAAAACAAACAAACAAAAAAACTGATGTTATCATTGTCCCCTTTACAGAAGAGGAAACTACAATTCAGACACTTGTCTGACAATTCAGCTGTAATTGATTGTAATTGATTTCAAGTCTATCTGACTGACAGTGATAAGAAATGTTGCCCTGCCCTCCTCAAAACTCCTGTGTCATTGAGCACTTTGTAGCAGTCACTTTACAAGCACTCTGTTCTGTAGGTACTATACTGATCCCCATTCTACAGATAATAGAATTGAATGAGATTCAGAGAGATAAAGTGATTCATCCAAGGGACACAAACCCAGGGCTGGTATGACACCACAGCCATATTCCTCCTGCTGCACTATGCTAAGCAGACTGGAGTAGGTTCCATTTCACTCTAAAAAGCATTTCTGTTTCCAAGGAAGATGCAAGTTCTCCTGGGCAGAAGAATTTATAACTATTAGTCTTTTTCACTTTAGTGAGAATTATTATTATTTTTTTTTGTTTTTTTGAGACAGAGCCTCAAGCTGTCCCCCTGGGTAGAGTGCCATGGCATCAAAGCTCACAGCAACCTCCAACTCCTGGGCTCAAGTGAGTCTCCTGCCTCAGCCTCCCAAGTAGCTAGGACCACAGGTGCCCACCACAATGCCCGGCTTTTTTTTGGTTGCAGCCATCATTGTTGTTGGCAGGCCAGGCTGGATTCGAACCTGCCACCTTAGGTGTATGTGGATGGTGCCTTAGCCACTTGAGCCACAGGCGCCAAGCCTTTAGTGAGAATTAATAAACAACTACCAAAGTGACAGGTGATTGCATTCTATGTTAAGTTGAAAGAGAAGGAACAGGGCCACATGAAGAGATGGAGGGACAGGGTATTCATAGGTTAGGACCTGGGTCAGAGAAACACCTGCAAATGCCCTGGAGATGTGGTCTTTCTTCCACTCCCATGGCTGGTCATACTCATCTGCTGGTCGTTCATCCTCCTGGGGCAGCCGGCTCTGTCGAGGCCTCTGTCCGGAAGGGGGCTCATCCTCTGCCTCTTGGTCCTGCTCTTCATAAGGGGTATCATACAGCTGCACCCCTCTGAATGGCAGTTCTGGGATGTCAAAGACATTGGTCAGTTCCCACTCCCACTTGGGACCCTTTCACCATCCCCCAAGCCTTGTGCACTCACCACTCATGACCTGCTGGGCATCATAGGGCTCCATATAACCATCATCTGGGGGTGGACAATAAGGCTGGGCATCGAAGGGGTCTGAATACTCAGTGTCAACTTCCACCTGGGAAGATGAGGCAGGGAGGATAAAGTGCCTAGAGGCACCAAGCCTAGATAACTCTGCTGGGTGGTATTATATGCCTTGCCTGCCCACTCTCGCCATCTCCAAATAGCTTTTTTTTGGGGGGGGAGCGAGGGTGAGGGAGTCTATTCTGCCACTCTTACAAGTGTTCCCAGACAGATTCCAGCTTCCTTTTCCTGTTTCCCTCCCTGCCATTCTGATTCTCCCAACAGAGACACTGGTCTCCCTCCTTCAATCACTTTATGTTTATCAGGTGCCAGCATTATTCTAAATGCTTTACATATTTTTTTTGTAAGACCAGCACTCTGTAAGTACATTATTATCTCCATTTTACAGATGAGGAAACCAAGAGACAAAGAGAGTAAATGATTCACGTAGGATCACACAGCTGGAAAGTGAGAGGCAGAGTTTGATCCCCTGAGTTTCTGCTTCCTCTTAGCTAACCACAATGACCCTGGACAGACTCTGAGAACCCTCCTCAAATGCTTCTCTGGCTACTGTCTCTGCTGAGGTTTAGGGTTGACCCCCTGGTCCTCTAGAGAATGTATTGACAGGCATTAGAGACAGGTCTGGATTCAGATCTTAATGAGTTAGAACCCAGTGACCTTGGGTGAGTCACTTCTCTTCTATGAGCCTCAGTTTCCCCTTCTATACAATGGGAATCACATGAGCAGGAAGGGCAAAGAGTCAGGATGAGGGTTTTTAAGCACCCAGCTGGGGAATGATGCCCTCAGATCTGTGTTAGGAAGATCCTACCAGCCACCCAGAGCAAGGGACACTATGGGGAGGGGATAGGCAGATGGGGATGGCCAAGGTGGAGGACTGAGAGACAAAGCAGGGGCTATCAGGGAGGCAGGAGGATGACCAGCATTATGCATGGAAAAGGGACAGATATCAAACTCCACCAAGCAAGTGGAGGACTGGGAAGTATTTGTGGGATGCCCAAGCCCACTCCTGGGATCACACATAAAACAAGATTCAGAGCCCAGCTTGCCCCTTTCCTACCTCATCTCCAGGGGCCACCCGGCCACGCGCCTCCTCCCCGGGGCTGCCCAGCAAGGCCTTGGCTCTGGCCATGTCCGCTGCCTCCACCTTGATGAGCCGATGTTTCGGAGAGTCGTACTTGGTATCACCTCCAGGGCCCTTGCAGTCTCCGGGGCCCACGGGGTCAGGCTCCAGGCGGCTTTCAGAGTCCTCATAGGGGTCTTCAAAATCCAGATTCTTTTGCGCGCGGTAGGCCCTCAGGATGTCGCTCTCGGTGTAGTCAGGGGTGGGCGGCTGCGGAGGGGGCCTCCGACCGCCAAAGCTAAGGTAGTCCCGTAGCCACTTGGCCATTTGGGCGCTTATCACCCCAATCTGGCCACGGTCAGGCGGGGACCCACATGCCCCTTTCCAGGCTCCCTTACCCAAAGAGAAGTAGAAAGAGATGAAGAAGAGGGAAGGAAGAGAAAGATCAGGTGTGCCCCGCAGCTGGGTTCCGAATGGATAAGGAGAAAAGTAGAGGCGGTAGACGAGAAAAAGGAGGAGAGAGAGGAGGAAGGAGGAAGGCCAGTTTAACCCAGTTTAGGAAGGACCGAAGGGGAAGGGGCAAGCCGCAGGGCCCTGAACGCCAAGCGCGGGAGCCAGGGCGAGGGGCATCTGCTAAAGCGCGCGGAGTTTCCGCGGGCAGCACAGTCGGGGTGCGCTGTTTGTCCGCCTGCCGTTTCCGGGAAGCTCCGGGATCCCTTATCTGGGGCCTGAGGTCGGGGACGCCCCCAGCCTCGCTTGGCCAGGACACCTGGGTTCTCAGCGCAGCGGGTGGTCTTCTCCTGGGCGCTGGCACTGAGCGCAAAGTTGGGCCGCTGGGTCACTGACCTCTACAGGGCGCATCCTTTGTCGCGCTCCTATTGGCCTGGGGGCGGGGGGAAGTCGTCCTAATCCCACGGCCCCAGCCCGGTCGCCGCGATCCGGCACCAGCCACCGGCACAAAGGGAAATAAAAACCTCCTCCAATTCCCCTTTAAGCTTTCTGAGCTACTTTACCGCCGCCGCCGCCGTCGCCGGCGAGCAGCCTGGAGGTGGGACTTTGGGGAGGGGGCGCGCAGGCGGACGCCCCAGTCCCCCCCCCAGCCCCGGGCCGTGTCTGGGGCAGCAGCGTCAAGGCTTCCCCGCCTCTCCCTCCTCTGCGTTCTCCGCCCCCTCCCCTCCCCCTGCGCTCCCCTCGGAGGTGACTGAGACCTTCAGCTGTTCTGGGGAGGGAGGGGGCCACTGCCCGCGGAGGGAAGCGGGGGAGGCAGGACCGGGAGTCACCCGGGCAGAGCGCGCGGCAGCTGGACGCTGACCCAGAGGACCGAGATTGGCCGGAGCTAGCGAGGAGCGCGGGAGGTGGGAACCGACTGGAACGACGCTGCTCGGGGACAGCGAGCAGTGCTGGAGAGGAGAGGGGGAGAGGGAGGAGAGGAAGAAATTGTCCGGGAAATGCGGGGTTGGACTTGACCGCGAGAAGGGGATGAAATTGACCAATAGAGGGGGTGACAGTGATCACTATGGAGGGCCGAAATTGAACCAGTATCTGGCGGCAAAACTGACCAGGAGACTGGGGTGCCGGAAATTGTTGGGGAGGTCACTGGCTAAAATTGATATTGCTGATGAAAGGGAAGATGGGGATCTGGCTTCCCCTTTCCCAATTTCCCACCTCCCCAGGGAACTAATTGCACGGTAAGGGTAAGGGTGGGGGCAGCTGGCTGAAGGAAGGGAGATGGTATCTGTGTCTGGCGCATGGCCTTAGCATCTGTCCCTTTGTGGCTTCTTGGGGCCGGTGGGGGGAGGGCCAGGGCCAGGGCCTTAAGAGAGAGGGTTCTCACTGCTCCTGGCTGCCTATTGGCAGCTGCTGCTGTCTGGGGGGGCCGGAGAGAGAGGTTTGGGGGTTGAGAAAGAGAAAGGTGCTACTGGCCATTCTAGGACAAAACCATTTTTTTCTTTCCCCATAAGGGGGCTTGCTAAGTTCCTCATAATAATGGGAATGAGAGAGAGGTGGTCAGAAAGGATGAGATACCAAATTCCCTTCTTGGGGCACCCCCAGGTTGGATAGGGGTCTTACAGCTTAAAGGGCAGGGAGAACCAGACAGTGACTGACCCTCTGGCAGGAGAGCAGCAGGGCTGGAGACAAAGCTTGTCACCACTCTCTTTATCTTGATTTCTTCATTTGAAAAGTGGTGTTTCTCTAATAGAAGACCCGCCCAGCCTCCTCCTTTTTCTAGATGAGGAAACTGAGGCACAAAGAAGGGCTTGCTCAGAGCTACTCAGCCGCTCATTTCTATCTGGACACTTTCACAAGGTGTGTGTGGGGGGGTGCCTGGCTTGGTGTGGCACTGGAGTCTCTTCTTGAATCAGTATTAGCCTATTGTCCAGCTAGGGAAACCTGGGTCTGGAGCAAACAAGGCAAAGTCCTTCTGGCAGCAGGGATCTCCACCCTGCTGTTCCTTCCCCTGTCCTGCACTGGCTATGTCCCCCCCCTCCAACACACACCTGTTGAACTCATTCCTCCCTCCCTCCTGAAGCATACTCACATGATCCACCCTCCCTCACTGCCCCCCCCCCCTCAATCATCTACAAGGCAGCATCTCAGTCCCTAAGGACTGCCAGAGACACATCGGGTAATTGTCCTGTTTTCTGTCAGCCACAAGGCAATTGCTCGGGGATGAGCTGTTGACAGATCTCATCAAATTCGAGTCCTCTCCCTGTCAGATAAATACTTGGTGTCTGAGGTATAAATATTTGAAAGGGACCTTCTAATTACAGTCTGTGTCAGGAATAGCAATTAGATGCCCCAGAGACAGAATCAAACAGCGTTTGACTTCCCTGTGCTTTTGAGCTGGCTTCTCCTGAGGCCATCCTCCCACCCCTACCCCAACTCCAAGGAGGGGAGAGGAAAGGAGGGGTAGAAGAGAGGGGCAAGAGAAGGTAGATGAGAAAAGAAATCCAGGATGGGAGCTGGCACCTCTCTGTGTGACCTCTGGTTGGCCACATAACCTCCTGAGTTTTGGCTTTCTTATCAGGAAGGATGGGAACCCCAGATTCCTGCAGCTTGGTGGGGTGGAAGGACCAGACAGAAGTTAGAGCTGACACCACTGTGACCAGCCCCCTGGCAGAACAACTGGCTAGGGGCAAAGTCAGCCAGAGGAGAGGAGGAAACAGGGAACAATGATGCTCAGAGGGGAGGGAGGCAGGGAGGTGGGGTGGTCTGGAGGTCCTGGGCAATGGAGACCCCCACTCCAGCGTTCATGGTGTGAAAGGCAGTTTACTGGGGGAGCCTCTCCAAGGTGAGTGGGGCTCAGAGTCTGGTGCTTTTCCAGAAGTTCTTTCAGTTCTGGAATCCTAGCCCGCCTGACCTTGGGTAATGACCCAAACTGTTTCTCACCTGAGAAATGGGAGAGTAACAGCTAAACCCTATTGTACACTTAATGAAAGATTAGTGGTTGCTGGGGGCTGGGGGAGGGGATGAGGTTGACTGCTGATTGGGTGTGAGCTTTCTTTTAGGGGGTGATGTTTGGGTAATTGTTTGGGATTTTTTTTGTTTTGTTTTGTTTTCTTGAGATATAATTCACATACTCTACAATTTACCCATTTATAGTGTACAATTCGGTGGTTTTTAGTATGTTCAAAAGGTTGTGCAAACCATCACCACTCTCTCATTCCAGAACATTTGCATCACCCCTAAAAGAAACCTCATAACCTATCAGTAGTCATCCTCATCCCCTCCCCCAGCCCCAGCAACCACTAATCTTTCAGTCCCTGTGGATCTGCCTGTTCTGTGCATTTCATATAAATGGAATCTCACACAGTGTGTCCTTCTGTGTCCCCTCTCTCACTGAACACAATGTCCTCAAGTTCCATCCACATTGTAGCCTCTGTCACAGCCTTCTTCTTTTTCATGGCTGAGTGTTAGTTCATTGTGTGGCCTACACTAGGTGCTGAAGATATGCTTAAGAGGGACCTTAGCAATGAGCTAGATGGGTGGTACCTGGCTAGGGGAATGTCCCTGCTCAGTTCCCCTAGTCCCTATCTCATGAAGCAGCACCCCTAGATCCCTAGACAGGAGGGACCAGGTGAGGACAGACCCGGGCCCCCAAAACTCCAAATCTGATGGAGGAGACCTGGCCCTGCCTCAGGAACTCCTAGTCTGATAGAGGAGACCACTTCTGCCTGGAGAAGCCCCCAAACAACATACCACCATCTTTCTTTCTCTCTCTCTCTCTTTTTTTTTTTTTTTTTTGCTTTCTTTCACAGACCTTAAATATCACCAGAAATATCTTTCTTAACTCCTAGTTGATGGTTGATGACTCTTTTTTTTTGTTGTTGTTATAAATACACATTTGGTGAATGAGGGGGAACAAAGGCAGAGAGAGGTGCTGTACACAGCTGGTATAGGCATGAAGGTTGGATGCCCCAGAGACACACAGTCTGCCCAGCAGGGCCAGCTGCCCAGCATCCTGGGGCCTGTAACACTTAGTTGGTGGGTGGCAGCTGACAGGTCTGGTCTGGGGCTGGAGGTCCCAGGCACCCAGGAGGGTCTCTGGTTCCAGGTCCTGGGTGGTCCTAGGCTCAGCTCACATCATTCAGGGCTTTTGGGGCAAACTTGGGCAGTACAAAAGCTGCCCGGTGCATATTTGATGCCACCCTCAGAAGCCCCAGTCTGGTGGAGTATATGCATGCCCTTGATAGGCTCTGAGTGTGATGGGGAGGTGTGATCCTGCCCTCTGAAGTCCCCAGTCTAAGGAGGACTCATGGTTCTAACTTCAAGGGCTCCTAGTTTGACAGGAGAAACATGGCCCTGCTTGATGGGTTCACAGTCTGATGGAGGAGGCAAGGTCCAACCTTCAAGGGCCCCTAGTCTGATGGAGGAGACATGATTATGTCTTCAAGGGTATCCAGTCAGATGAAGGAGGAAAGGTCCAAACTTCAAGGGCCCCCAGTCTAATGAGGGAGACATGTCCATGACTTCTAGGGTCCCAGTCTGATGAAAGAGACATGAGCCTACATACAAGCACCTGTTTGAAGATCCAACCCCTCAAAGGCTTCCAATCCAGTGGGTAGACATAGCCCAGTCCCTGAAGGACTCCGTCTGCAGAAGTTGTAGTGGAGCATGGTGGTCAAATCTGTGGCCTTGGAGTCTTGCAGATTCAAACCTAGGTCTTGTCCTCCACTCACCATGAGCTCTTGGCCAAAGAGCCTCCCCTCATCTGTAAAATGAGGCAGCAGGAGACTGTGTGCCCAAGGGAGCCGGGAGAAAGGGTGGCCCCTTTTCTGCTTTGTGTAGCCCATGTTTAGGCAGGAGTGGGTTCCAGCAGGAGGAGC